ATTATGGGAAATTAAAATCCACAACCATAGTTGAACTTGCAGCTGAGGACAAGGGCAGATGTTAATGCCAGGAAGACCTGCTGGGGATCATGAAGACGATTGCAGGAGGAAGAAGAGGAAGTCACAAAGGGTAATCTTCCAACTTGCATTTGTGTGGGTGGACCCCAAATTTTGAGTCCCTGTCTGAACAGTTAGGGGCAAAAGGGGTGAGCAAATATTTAAGATACCCGTCACATTGCTTAAGCTTCCCACAACTGCTCCCTGGAGAAGCCCAGTCCTGCTTCTTTTGAAAGCTGGCCCTTGATATCCTGGGCCAAACTTTGTGTAACCTTTAAGCTACTGGAAATAGCCCATTGGGGAAAATAATCTTCACCAGCAGCTCAAGGCATGGTCTGTGCTGGGAAGGGGAAAGTAATTCCTTGCTTGGATTTCTCCCTAAGAAATGGAAAAAAAAAAAAAAAAAAAAGACAACGACTCAAGTTGGACTTTTCAGCACTGCTCTCATGGAGGAGCAAATCTACATACAAGTTTGAAATTGTAGCCACATTCCTCCCAAGGTTCTTTTCCATAGGAAGAGCCGGAGAGAGATTATAGCATTTTACAAGTTTTTTAATATAGGCAGTCTCCAGGTTAAGAACGCCCGGTTTAAGGACAATCCATAGTTAAGAACAGAGCCTACTGCAGCAAAATTCGAGTTAAATACACAATGATTTGAGTTAAATACACAATAGTTCGAGTTCATTACACAACACTACTTCCACAGTATTATACAATAATATTGTTCCGGCTTATGTACAAATTCGACTTATGGACAGACCTCGGGAACGGAACTCGTTCTTAAACCAGGGACTACCTGTAGATGTCACACCAAACAAACAGAGCCAAGACCTGTTTTCTCTTACCCCAGAATAACAATCTTAAGTTACAGAAAAGCAAATTTCAGCCACACTTTAAGCAAAACGTCCCACGAGTTAAGAGCAGTTTCACAAGACAGCCAAATACACAAGCAAATACTTGATTCCCCACTGAATAGATGCATTCAAACAGAGGCAGAACACCTTTAAATTAGCTTTAATTTGGATTTTTCCACTCAGAACGGCCCCTTCCAATGCTTGCTTCTATTATACTATCAAAGGCATCTCTCTGGCAAATATCTTTCTCCCAACTGGTAATGGAACTAATTAACTTATAGGTAGTCCTCATTTAGTGACTGCCTCTTTTAGCGACCATTTGCTGTTATGATGGTGATGAAAAAGTAACTTTGCAACTAAAGTTCACAGGTTTGTAAAGCAAAGGAAAGCTGAAGTAAAATTGCAATGTTTCACTTAATGACCACTTCGCTTAACAACCGTTGTCAGACCTGACTGTGGTTGCTAAATGAGGACTGCCTGTACAGTTAATTCTTAAAGGTCTATTATAAGGATGTGCAGCTCTTTGGATTCAAAGTGGAGAAGCTGGTTGAATCCGTTGTAGGAAGGCTCATCTGTGCTGAGCTCTGATGTATACGGTGCTGGATCCAAAGCACCTTTCCTGTTTCAGATCCAAATAGCTGCAAATGCCTATTCCTAGGCATCCTTACCTTTTGGGTCTACCTGGGCCAAATAAGTCAAGCAACAGCTGCTGGGTCCAGTTGGTTGCACCAAGTATCCAGCTAAGAGAGACACAGCTCTTACCAGGTCCTTGCGTGGAGGGTATTTCTACACAAGAGAAAGCCAAAGAATCAGTTGGGGTTGAGTTTTTGGTCTGAGCCAGAGGCTGCCTTTTGACAACAAGTCACTGAATTGATTTTGTAGCTGTAGACCCACAAGCCAAAGACTATGTTCCCACAATGGGCTGAAACCCAAACTAGTAGGTCCATTTTAGTCTAGCATGACCTGTTATACAAATCATCCTGTGTATCTTTGATTAAGCCCTCTATATTCCTAAACCACTCACAAAGACCTCTTACCCCTATCTTTTGCTCACTTACCTGGTGCTTGACAGAGAAATTGAGGATTACATATGACTTATCCAAAACTCGCCAGGACCTCAAGGTGACGACATCTCTATTCTTTAAAGGTTTGGGGCACTTCCCTAACCAGGAAGGAAGAAAAGGTGCATCAACTTCACAGGTAGAGATTTAAACAAATGGAAAAGGGGTGCATAATTTAAATCACAGAAACATAGAGCTGGAAGGGAGCACAAGGATAATCCAATCTAACCCACTGCAATGTGTTGGAAAACTCAATAAAGAGTTCTTGACCATCTTCTCTTTATATATCTGAACACAACTATCATGCTTCTCCTAAGTCTTGTTTTCTTCAGGCAGATCTCCTCAAATTCCTTCAGCCTGTCCTCATATCCTTGTATCATCTTTGCTGCTCTCCTCTAAACCCTATCTAGCTTGTTAATATCCTTCTGGGTATGTGGTGCCCTGTGATGGAATGGAATTATGAAGGCCAAGCTCAGGGAGATAAACATTTTCTTAGCTCA